TAAAAATCAGCATTTCTAGAATATACTGGAAAGTTCCAGGGGTGGTATATGTTTTGGAGCTCCAACAAATGATGTGAATCAATTAAAGGAGCACTGTTCACAATGAACTGATAAATCTCAGCAAGATTCAGGCTTAGAACTTTTTTCTCTCGCTCTGACCACAGCCTGAGCCCTAACTCCCAGCAAGACCAAGAAGCATTGATTGACTTCAGACCTGTTTGACAGTCTTATTTTTAGGCATTGAAGACTCCTTGGAGCCCGCCCTTCCCATGGAATTAGGAACAAGGTAGCACCTACATAGTTTACACAGCACATGTGAACAAACCTTTTGTTTTGATACCTAAGCTTTTCTGTAATATTGTGTATTCTTTGGGAAAATGTCTGTCTCTAGTTTTCAAGTAAGTTCTTGGAAGAGCTGAATCCAGGAGGAACTACCGAAGCTCATCTTTGAGAGTTCTCAAATATTAATAACACTTGGGGAAATCTGAAGCACAAAATTAAATACAACCACCTACATTATACAGTTTGGTGGTGGCGGTTTAGTCCCCAAGTCATGTCTGACTTTTTGTGACTGCATGAATTGTAGCTGGCCGGGCTCCTCTGTCCATGGGATTTCCCAGGCAAGAATACTGGAGTGGGTTGCCATGTCCTTCTCCAGGGGATCTTCCCAACCCAGGGATCAAACCCAGGTCTCCTGCATTGCAAGTGGTCTCCCGCATTGCAGGCAGTCTCTTGCATTGCAGGTTAATTCTTTACCGACTGAGTCATCAGGGAAAGCCATTTAGCATCAACCAAAATGGTAGTTGGCGCTTAAACAACTTGAGTCAACTCTAGCAGGAAGGGATCTTCCCTGGTGGTCCAGTGGTTAAGAATCCACCTTGCAATGCAGGGGACCTGAGATCCAGGTTCAATCCCTGTTTGGAATACTAAGATCCCACTTGCCTTGGAGCAACTAAACCCACACACTCTGGAGGCTGTGCACCACAACTAGGGAGTCCGTGCGCCACAACAAAGATCACTGATGATGCAACGAAGACCTGATGCAGCCAAATAAATGTAAAAAAAAAAGGAAAGAAAGAAAAGAAATGGTTAAAAAAATCTATCAGGCAACACCTATTTGAACTCAAATATTTTACCTGATTTTGGGGGACCACCTACCATGGGTCAGGAACTTAAGAAACATGATCTTTGTCTTTTGTGAGAGTCCTGAAATCACGATGTTGCTTGTTTTTTCCTTCAGAAAGTTGCTTTTAAGTATTGTTCCTATGGCTTCCCAGGAGGCATAGTGGTAAAGAATCCACTTGCCAATACAGGTGATGTAAGAGATGTGGGTTCCATCCCTAGTTTAAGAAGATCCCCTGCAGTAGGAAATGGCAACTCACTCCAGTATTCTTGCCTGGAGAATCCCATGGACAGAAAAGCCTGGTGGGCTACCGTCCATGGGGTTGCATAGAGTCGGACAGGACTGAGTGAGTCAGCACACACATGCATATCATTTCCATTTTATAGATGAAATTCTGAGACTTGGAAAACCTGAGTGTGCCTGAGGTCTCAGAGCTAACATGATAGAAGTGGGATTTGAACCCAGCTCTGTGTGACTCTAAACCACTGGGCTGTGATGCTTAGTGGCGATAGGGAAGTGGTATTCTGTGCAGCCCATTCCCCACAGAGGATGAATGTGCAGGCTGCCTGAAGGATGCATGTAGGAGGTACTCTAGGCTCTTGGGGAAGGTGAGCTGATTCTGGCTGGTGTTTATCAGGAATGTCTGGGATTTAAGTCCTGGGTCTGTCAAGGAATTCTTTCCCCATCTCTCCCAGACACCCCCTGGGGGCTACAGGGCTTCTTGTCTGCAATGCTTAAAGTACCAACTATGTGAACTTGTATCCTTAAATGGATTGAATTGAATGGAAGAATGTCCTCAACTGCTTAGCCAACAACCCAGGGAGTGATAACTTACTACTTTCTGATAAGGCATGGTCACAGTTGATTTCTGGCTGACTCTTATTCATGTTAGTCACATACTGACGTCCTTGGGCACCTTGCCTTTGTTTAAATTTTTATTTTTATTTTCGGTTGTCCTGTGTCTTCGTTGCCTCTCGAAGGCGTGTCTGATTGCGGTGAGTGGGCTCCCTGTGCTCAGGCTCAGCAGCTGTGGCTCGCGGGCTCCGGAGCGCTGGCTCAGCAGTCGTGGTGCTGGGGCTTAGTTGCCTTTCGGCATGTGAAATTTTCCAGGACCGTGTCCCCTGCATTGGCAGGTGGATTCTTATCCACTGGGCCACCAGGGAACCCCGGGCATCTTGCCCTGACCCCCTGACGATGACCTTCTCCTGAGCCAAACTGTGTGAAGAATTAAGTCCGACTGCTGCAATAGTTCCTGGACTTCACTCAGATGAGGTTTTCAGAGAAGACTCTGCAAAGTGGATCTTCCTTTTGTGAAATTTTCCTCTGCATACCTGGAGAGGGTTGGTGAAACCTGGGCCTTGTTTGGTACGTGTGAACCAGCTACAGGAATGTTCCGCTGACCCAGTTGGCTTGCATTCAGGGTAGAGGATCTTCCTAGAGTTTCTGTGATGGATGGTGATGCAACCTCACTGGCATAGACTCTTGGGCGGTTGATGACCTTGGAGGTCTTCATAGGTGAAGATGAGAATAGACCTTTCTATTGTCTAAAAGCTCTCTGAACTGTGGTATAAGATATGTCTCCACGCAGCTTTTTGATTTCTTTAGTGAAATAAAAATTTCTGACTGAGGACTGATAGAACAGATGTGAAGAGGAGGAGTGTGACTTCCATCAGTCCAAATGTCTGCAAATGTCCAAAAGGACCAGAACCTCCCCCCCCAAAAGGTCAAGCACATTTGCCTCTCAACATCATCTCAGACACTGTTCTGCTAAACGATGGAGCCTCTTGAATTGCTCTGAAAGCCTTCCTTCTGCCCTGCTGTGGCCAGTGTCTATTTGGAAATGGTCTCAGGGGACCATGAAGCAAGCTGGGGCTGCTTGGTACCTTTGCAGGAGGAGGAGATACCCAGACCCTGTAGGCTGTGAGCACAGCTGTGGGTGTTGTTGGAGGGGAGCTGAGAGGGCAGAAGTCGCCAGATCAGGCTTCTCAGAGGAAGTGGGACTTGAGGAATCCCTGCTCCCCGAGGGTCGGCTCGTTCGCCCCTCCGAGCAGCAGCAGCGCTCACTGCCTCCTGCCTTCACGGGCCCTTAGGGCCTCAGTGTCCAGCACAGGTTTAGGGGCTCATCCTTTTGGGGGCAAACCGGTGTGTGTCTCAAGATGGTTCATTTTCTGGAAATCATCTGTGTTGGGCTGGGATGAGATCATGCCTCACTCTGCCTCTTCTATCCAACCTTGTAACCCATGACTCTTGTCTAGACACAAGCCTTGACTGTATGCTGGGGTAAGATGTTATGAGCCCAGGGGATCTTCACTTCCCATAGATGATCCCAGTGTCTGTTTACCCCCTTTCCCACACAAAATAAATTTCAGAGGCACCTGCGTCAGCAGATTTGAAGGGCTTGGGGAAGGTCCACCTACTCATGAATAACCCTATTGCCTTTATTTCCAACATTACACAATATGTAAAATTTAGCTATTAAAATTCATAGGGACTTCCCCAGCAGTCCAGTGGTTAAGTGGTTCCAGTGTTGTGGGTGTGGGTTCAATCCCTGGTCAGGGAACTAAAATCCATATGCCACATACTGGGGCCAAAAATCAAACAAACAACCCCCCGCCCCCCAGAAAAATCCAAAAAACAGAGAGAGAGAAAACCCATAAAATTCATATTTAGGAGTTCCTTATTAAAACATAAAAGATCCCTGTTCATAGAAAAATCACTAATTCATTCCTTAATGTATTAAATGTGTTAATTCAATAAATTCATAAGGAATGGACTTATCAATTTGCTTTCCTATGCAGTTAGGTCAGAAGGAAAAGGCAGTTTTGATAAGGCATGATGATTTAAATAGAAATTTATATTTATTCATTCAATTACTTTTGAGTGCCTACTGAGTACAAGGCTCAGGGGTTCAGAGGTGGCAGGCAGGAAGGAAGAAACTGCATGTAAATGAAGCTATGCTCTGTGCTAGTCATTTCCACTTGTTATCTCGTTTAATCATCACACACACACCTGAAAGGAAGGCTGTTTCCGTGATCAAAAGATGAAATCAAGACTCCAAAAGTACCCCTAAATCTATAGAGCCTGGAAGTGGTAAAGTCAGGATTCAGACCCTTATGTTCTGATTCCAAGATGCCCAACATCCTCTCTGCAGGGAACCAATGGTGCCAACAAATACCAGTAGGAAGGGTTGCCGAGAAGTAAGAGGACCCTTACAATGGAAGATGAGGGAGTCAAGGGCCCCCTCCATTCACTTCACTTTAAAAAAAATATTTATTTATTCAGCTGCTGTTGGGTCTTAGCAGCAGTTCAGGGAATCTTTGCTGGGGCGCCTAGCCTTCTGTCTCATTGTGGGCCAGGGGCTCAGCAGTAGAGGTGGGTGGGCTTAGCTGCCGCCATGGCATGTAGGATATTAGTTCCCAGACCAGGGATGGAACCCACCCTCCTCCCATGAGTTGGAAGGTGGATTCTTAACCACTGGACCACGAAGGACATCTCCACTTCACATTCAATAGCCCTTTAACCTATGATCAAGAATTAGACCTGATTTTAAAAGCATCATGAGAATGGGTCTACTTTGAGCTATCCGTACGCTGTTATTGTCCAATTGATTTTTAATAAGCACCCAACAGATGCCAGGCACCATGGTGAGCCCCTACCCATCACCAACTGCACTCCCTCCGCATGAGTGATTTGAGCAGAGAGGGGGACATCCGTGTGCAGGGCTCCTGGCACAGCCCGGCCAATCTCACAATGACCGGTCCTGGTTCGCCGGCGGAGACTGCGGATCCCCTGGCACTGCTGCAGCAGGGCCGGAAGCTAAGGCCACAGAGTCAGCCTGCGGTCCCCGCTCGGGACCCTGGTCACCCGAAACGCCCCCATGGGCTCACGTGTGCCGATCACCCTGGACCACGTGCTGTCACCTCCTGGACTCGAGGACTCCCCGGCCCCAGGGGCCCCAGGCGCTAGGAGGGGAGGGGACCCGGGGCGCAGAGCGCGGCGGCTGGAGAACGAAGGGCTACCAGGCCGGGCCACTTGTCTGCGCGAGGCTCCGGTTCCTGTCCCGCACCTGGGGACGCCCGGTGGGACCCGGTTCTAAACTGGGTCACTGGGCTGCCAACAGCCTTGTCACTGGATTCACACTGCAGCCGGGACCAGAAGCAGGGGGGCCACCCTGAACAGATTCCCTTAAAGGTCACCCTCGCCCCTAGTAGCTGGGGACTCCCCCAAGAAGGGGCTGAACCCCAGTTCAAGTGCAGAACGGAAAGTGGCACCTCGGAGCAGCAGGTAAGGCCTCTGATCTGCAGGGGGTGGTAGAATGGAGCCCAGCACAGGGCAGAGGGAGGGCTGTGGCGGTAGCCTTGGGGCATTTTGCTCTCCATCCTCCCAAGCTCTTCTTTGAACTTTGGCTGATTTTTCCTCCTGTGGGTTGGATGGATGCCAACGTGAAAAATGAATTTTGCAAAGCAGTAAGGGAAAGACATACAACAGAAAAGGGGATTTAAAAAAGACATGTAGAGATAATTTCCAGGGGAAAAAAAGAAATACAAGTGGTCAATAGAACCTGAAGAAAAAAAGGTCAGGCTCACTAGTAAAAGAAATGCTGGTTAAAACAGAATACCTTTTTCCTCCCTGCTTATCAGATGGAGAAAGTTTTGAAAGCATGGTCATAGCTAGAATTTTGAGATTGTGGGGAAACCTACATACTGCAGGCTGAGTGTACCCTAGCAGGCTTTCTGGAGGCAGTTAATATTGTTTTGTAGAAGAGTTCTCTTTTTACCAGCACTTTGACCCAGCAATTTTGCTTTTAGGAATTTATCCCAAGATTGTGGGACATTTTAGCTACAAGGATATTGATTTCAATGATGTGAATAGCAGTAAAAAATTAACTGGGAATATTATTCAATCTTATGGCACATCCATAATACTGAATGTAAAAGGCATAGTAAATCTTGTAAAAGTCAGTGAGGCATAATGTTTGCAGTAGACTGGTAAATGTGAAAAGCAGTTTACAAAGCAGTATGTAGAAAATTCTTCCAAGTTTTAAAGGGAAATATATATCTGCAGATGGAGAAGGGAATGGCAACCCACTCCAGTATTCTTGCCTGGGAAATCCCATGGACAGAGGAGCCTGGTCCATGGAGTTGCAAAGAGTCAGACACAACTCAGCAACTGAGCACACACAGCACATAGATGTACAGAAAAAAGGCTGGAAGGGGTGGACACAACCGTGTTGACAATCATTCTCTCCAGTGGGGTATTATTGCAAATTCTTTTCCACTTTTTACTTGTTTGCCTTCTCCAGATTTTTATTACCAGCTTGTATAACTTTCGCAATAAGGAAGTAAAAAAAAGAAAGAAAAAAAAAAATTAAAGTTATTTTTAAAAGAAAAGAGAAGCATCTGCGTCTAATTTTTCACAATCCCCCAGAGTAGGGAGTAGGAGAAGGCCCAAAAGAAAGAAGCAACAAATTCAGGAGCACTTTTCAAAGAAAGATTTAGGAGTTGAACCCTGGCCATTCCCACAGATTGGAGACTCCATGAAGATGGGCGGACCAGTTAATAGATAGGCAAATCCGAAGATTACAATTTTTTTTAAAAAAATTGCAGACCGCAAATTTTTTCCATTTCTTTTTGAGATATGAATAGACAAGCTGCAGCCTCTGTCACTGTTGTGCGGGGGGAAGCTCGGGGGGTGGTACAAGCTCAGGGGGTGGACTGGGGCCATGGAGCACAGGGATGAAGGTGAAGCACGCAGGTCAGCCTGCTGGCCCTTGTTCAGAGCCTGCCTTGCCACTTAACCAACAGTGCAAACTGAGGCAACTTGCCAGAACTCTCTGTGCCTTGATAATAATGGTGTTCACTCCATTAAGTGAATTAATACAGCAGAATGTTGAGAGGCATGCATATAAACATTTGTGTGTACAACCTCAGATAGGCAGATGATACCACTCTAATGGCAGAAAGCTAAGAGAAACTAAAGAAACTCTTGATGAGGGTGAAAGAAGAGAGTGAAAAAGCTGGCTTAAAACTCAACATTTTTATTCAGCATGGAGTATCTTAGTTCTCTGACCAGGGATCAAACCAGGGTACCCTGCAATGGAAGTGCAGAGTCCTAACCACTGGACCACCAGGGAATTCCCAATGATATGTACATTTTAAACCTTATGAGATGTTATTATTTTACACAGTTGATCTTCATTCAGATTTACCTACACAGCCTCCCCTTCTATTTCCTTCATTCTACATCTAAGATGATTGGTCCTGTGCTCTGAAGAACTCCCTTTAATATTTCCATCTTGTTTTCACTTCTGTGAAAACCTTTATCCTCTCCAAGCAGTACAGGATTCTAGGTTGACTTATTTCTTCAACCCTCTAAAAATGTCATGTGATTATCTTCTTTGTTTTCTTGTTTATTGGTGAGAGTCCAGCTGTTAACCTTACTGTTGCTCCTTTGAAGATAACACTTTTATACTCCAGCTGCTTATAAGCTTTTTTCTTTGTCTTGGATTTTCCATGGTCTGATTTTGATGTGCCCCAGGATGGCTTTCTTTGTAAACTATACTTCCTGGGCTTGATATCTTTCATCAGCTTCATATAATTCTTGACAATTATCTTCTCAAATATTTCTTCCAGACATTCTTTGTCTCCTCTCTTGAAATTCCAGTTATACGGATGTTAGATCTTTCTAACACGGAGAACATAACCCTGTCCTAACTTCTAGAGTTTAGCTCTTTAAGAACCCCTATCTGACAGCCTGGGGCTGTTTCACGGGACTGCTCCTCCTTGGCAGGCTCTGAACCCCAGGGTCTGTGTCCTTAGTCCTGGGAGGATGCCCGAAGTTTTACTTAACTTCCCAGCCTGTTGGCCTTGTAATTGGCAAGTGGCTTAAGGGGAAAAGCAGACACAAGTGTCAGGTTCACCTTGCTGTGCTTTTCATCTCTCGGATTCTTGGCTTCTTGAGTCCTTGCTGCCTCGATAGCTCTCCAGTGACCTCAAATACATGCTTTTTGCATTTTATCTACGTTTTCCAGTTGTCCTTGGCAGGAAACTTTATCTGTTACAAGCTAGTCTGCTGTAGCCAGAAACACAGGGTACTGTGTGGAAATGACAAGAGATGTCTTCTGCCCCTGGACATGAGCAGCCGGTAGAGTCTGACATGATAATGTGGTAAAGCACAAGCAGGATGCTATTTTAAAGGGAGTCAGAGAAGACACTGATTCTGATTAGGAACATCTGGGAAGGATGCTGAAGAACAGGAAGGATTGTGACATACACTTTTTAGAGGGAAGGGTGGAAAAACTTAAGCCAGTCTAGGCTGGTATGATCAGATGGGTGACACAAGGGCTGGAGTGAGGGCAAGGAGAGAAGCATCGTTGGAATAATGAAGTCAGGAATGCTGGTGTGATCATGGCATATGGTCCCATCACTTCATGGCAAATAGATGGGGAATCAGTGGAAACAGTGGCTAACTTCATTTTGGGGGGCTCCAAAATCACTGCAGATGGTGATTGCAGCCATGAAATTAAAAGACCCTTACTCCTTGTAAGGAAAGTTATGACCAACGTAGACAGCATATTAAAAAGCAGAGACATTACTTTGCCAACAAAGGTCCATCTAGTCAAGGCTATGGTTTTTCCAGTGGTCATGTATGGATGTGAGAGTTGGACTATAAAGA